TATTTCATGTTCATTTAAGTATCTTAGAGAATACCTATTAACAAGCTATTTTGTATCAATATACAACTCAACCTTAAATTTAAGCATCAAAATATAATTGAATTCAATTATCACCAAAAGAAATATAAGTACCAACTTACTCCTCAATCAATCAGTTCTTCAAAGCCTAAATGACATTTTCGAGCTGAATTTGGCCATATTTTGAATCAATTTAATAAATACTAAGGCAATCTTGAAATCATTCAGCAAATCTCCAATGGTACCAACCAATCCTAAGAATCCCCCAAGATAGACTGGTTGGCCTCTTCCATTCAAGAATAGCTTCATTTTTCTAAATATATTAAAATGCTATCTCTAGACATGTCATATCTTAAAAATATTACTTCCTTAACGCACAAATACCACTTAGAACTTGGCATAAATTTTTTCAACTTATAGAATCTCAAGAATAACTATAAAAGGTTGCCTATATTCTATCAAGTTCTTGAAATATAATAATATATGATCAACAACTCAATTCAGGAAATTTGTTCAGGCTTTATGTAAGCCAAAGCACAATGTCAAAAACTCTTGACGCCAATATCATATGTAAAGGTTCTGTCAGAAATATATGTTTCATTTAATTTTAATTGATAATAATCAAATCTCAAATCAATATGGGAATACACCTAAGATATTTGCATCTAATCAAAACTATCATCAAGAGGAAAAGGATGCTTCTTCACAAGAAAATAATTTAACTATTCATAGTCCACATGAGATCTTGAAGAATCATCCTCCTTCACAAATCATGCAAGTGCTTCTGAGAAAGAAACATTAAGCCAACAAGTTATTCTTGCGTTTTCAATTCCTTAAATTCCACAAGCCACTTTGTGATAAAGCCTAAAAACGGGTCTAATGACATGAGCAACCATAATAAGAAATCAACTCTCTCAATGGAGACAAATAATCAGAAAAAATATATATAGATTCCTAAACATTTGGTTTTTCTACAAAACAACATAAATAGTCCTGAGCATAAATCTCGAATACCATTGTTACCCATCCACTCCTAAAGCCCCATAAGCCTTCTCAACACGATTGATTTAATTCTCAAACTTTAGTGAATCCTAGAAAAATTAATGGCCTCATCATCATTAATTGCACAAAATTAAGTTAAACCCCAGCTACAAGACCATTCCACCCATCCTTCCACAATACATCTGTTGCACTTGATGATGTTATTGTAATAAAAATAGTTGCAAAAATTGATTTTAATAATTTTCCTTGCAGTGCTCCAAGTAACCCCAATGCTAACCACAAAGTGCTCTTTCGTAGAGATGTCGAAAATTGACCTGACACACCAACTTGACTTAGACCCAACTCGAAAAATCTGAGTTTATGTTGACCCAAATAAATTTCAGGTCGGGTTCGAGTAAAGATTTTTAACCGTTTAATTTAGAGTCGGGATCAAGTTGACTCTCCAACCCGAACTGACCCACCAAACTGAAATTTACTTGAATTCGACCCGTCTATCCAAAATTGACTCGATATTGACTCGAAATTGACTGAACTTTGACCTAAATAGTTGTTTCCCTCATATTAAATGGGTTAAATGGGTCGGTTTTATGTTTCCCATGTCTGGCTTGAGTTAGGTTCGAATTGAGATTTGCATCCTGTATAATATCCGGGTCAGCTTCGTGATGAACCCTATTCGGGTTGTGTTAGTTTTTGGTCGGGCCTAAACTCGACCCGCAAAAACGAATTGACATCCCTACTCTATAGACATGAATGTTTCTCTTGTAATAGATATCCTCTACCACTTAATCCAACTTCCATATCGACAATGCATCCTCTACTCTAAACTACCATGACGCAACCCTAAATTAAAATCTAATATTAATGTTATGTACACCATTGATAATATTCTTACAAAAAGCATCTTAAGAATCCTAGAGCTTTGCTCTCATAATATAAAAGTTAATACACCACAATCAAGAAAAAAAATTGCATTAGAAAAAACATAATCTATAAAAATTAAAAGCTATATAAAAATTAGAATACACAAGCTATATGAAACAAACGCAAAATTAAAAAAAATATCATTAAATAGATTTTAATACTTACAATGAACTAAACTTGGAAAATATATAAACTCCTGAAAAACTACTACTGTTAAAAGAAAAATGGTAATGTAGGCTAAATCAATGATCTTGACACCTAATCTCAGCCCAGTGTTACTTAGCACCTACAACATGTAAATAGAAAAGGGATAAGCAAACCAAAACTCAATAGAAATCTTCCACCATAACCACAAATGTCTAAGAAATGCTTACAATATTCACGATAATAATTTCTTGTTGTTCATAAATAATTTAATATAAGTCACTAATTGATAATGGATAATGGCCATAATCAACAAAACATCATATAACAAAGGGTAAAATTCGATGAAAACAATCAAGTAATAAATCAATCATCAGCATATTAGAAACCCCAAGTAACTAATGAGCGCATTAGCAACGCAAAGTATCACTCATATATGTAGTCCCCTCGTTAAGAGTGTTGCTTCCACCCACTAATATAAAACATATTCCCACCACACAGGTATAGGGAGCCAACATCATCAATGTTGGTCTTAAGCATCCATAATAACAATAAATAAAGTCAAACATCACCCAAAAAAAAATCATCCACACATGCATCGAAATACACAATAATCAATAATGCATTCTTCTATAGAGAATATGATATCCAATTCCATAAAAGAAAATATGTTCATGCTATAAATAAGCTACTTGAAACAATTAAGCAAAAAATTTAAAGGATAAGCATCCAAATAATATAACAATTCATAATACATGATTATATACCTAAACAATATAAGAAAATGTAATTAACATAACTACATGAAAAGATATAACAAGCTACAAGGATTCAAACAATAAAAAATGGTTCAAAAGAAAGCATTGTACCAAAAGGTATAACTCCCAAAGCTTCTCTTTGCATAAAGAGCAACAACAATTATAAATTTGCAGATATACTAATTGAGGGTCAATTCTAACAAATATATTTATTAGTATACCCTCTTCTTCCATACATACTCTCAATTCCTTCCTCTATAATTGATTATCATGTGACCCAATGCTATCACCCTTATTCCTACCCATCAATTCATCAAGGCTGAGGGCCAACATTCCCCATTCCAACCTTTGAAAAATGTTATAGGTTGCTTCTACATTTTTTGCCCACCTCCCTCTCCTCCCCCATTTCCCTTAGGTTGTTGGAACCAGCTTTCAACCATGACAAACCTCAGACTACTGTACATAATTCCCTTAGCATAGTAACCAACCTTCTAACTCCAAAGACAATTCCCTTGCCAACTCGAGCAAAAATTCCAAAGATCTCTCTTATACAAAAGGATATTAATTTTTCAACATAAAATCAAAGTAATCTAAGGAAAAAAATTCAAAACAAAAATTTTAAATAAGAATACAAATCACACAATGCAATTTTAGATCTAGTTAAAGTATATCACAAGAGAAGACCACAAAAAAACATTTTTTAAATTTAATATGATCTAGTTTCAAATACATAAAGTATATTGGGTAAACTTTGAGGAATGATGGTTACTTAAGCTAATAGTGATATTTAATATACCAAAAATAGATTAATAATTATCAAACAATTAAACCTAAGAAAATATTATTTTATTTATCCAATTGTTTTGTTTTTTAATCAGCTTCAAAGAAACAATTCTAGGATGTTTGTCTCTTCATTATACTACACCTAACACCAACCCCACTTTAATTTTACATCATGTAGATGAAGAAGAGAAAAAACCAATACATGTTACATATGGTCTTTTCAAAATTTTACACATTCACACTAGTTTTCTTTCTTAGGCCTGGCTCCCAATGATATGCGAATCCATAAAACCTATATGGATGACTATCCTTTTTTCTTTTTTTTAGAAATGATTAGCACCTAAGAATAATATCAAATATTACAAGTTGATTGATTCCCCACTCAAAAACTGACAAAACATAATAATCCCTCAAGCTATCAAACATACTTATGAGGTTAAGAATGATGTTTTGAGTGGTTTTTCTTTCACTTAGCATTGGAGAGTAAATTACAAATGATGTAATGGTTGATCACTAGTAAATGATAGCACGGAGACCAAAACTAGTGAGCTCTTAGAACTAAAACTAAAAGTCTAAACCTTGTTCAATGCAGACATGTGAATTAACATCAGGCATTATAATTCGTGACATTTAACACCAGTAGCAATATTTTATCGCAACACAATTGCATGCACGGGTTCCAACATAAGGCCCGATATGAGGAGATTCTAAACATTATTTTGCCAGGTGGATACAAGCCTAAATATGATAATAAATGCCTCAATTCTTCAAAATGACTATAGCATGATAATTCATAGCCTTCGTCATCATTCCAAAAAAAGCCCGAGAATTGAAGAAATATGGGTCTGCGATATGGCATGTAAACCTCCTGAGCAGATGGTAGAAATGAATAAATGAGTGGCTTTAAGAATTCAAACTAGAGAAGCCAACCTAACACAGGAGCGATAGAACTACAGCACAGCCACTACGCGTTGAAATAGTATCAGAATCAGTTTCAAGAACAATCAGCTAGTGTAGTCAGTCTCACGCATGGCCCTCGCAAACTATGTAGCTTCCCAGCTCCCCTACAAATGTTACCACTGCCTCGTCCGACATCAGACATCAAGCATTCGGACAAAATTTTCGAAAGCCTGCCAAAACTAGGTTATTGGGTCATTCCCACAGCCCGTCAACAAAGACAATCATAGAATTCATAGACAGCGTCAATGGGGAGCTGCGAAATAAATCATGAGCAAACGAGGTCTCCAATCACCCGACCACCGTCATCAAAAAGGAAATTAAAATTAGGAATTAACACCAACTTGATAGCGTGAGCCGCACAGAACATATGTTTGAAATAATCGGAAGATTTTGATTAGAAGAATTAAACCATACCTGTGCCCTAGCTCTCCTCCCTCTTTGTGTGACAGAATCACACAAATTTCTCCTCTGGCTATGACGGGCTGCGCAATATTTGCAACCAGGCGACGAAAGACACGGGAGCTTGGCTTTGATCAAAGTTCGCCGTCAAATGACTGGAGAATTGGCTTGACAAAAGCCTATTTCTTTATTCGCGGATAAAGATGAAGTGGATTTGTGCAAGACATTTACTTATTTTCATGTGTAAAATATGTTGGAATTAATTACATAGAAAAAGATATCTAAAAATATAATTATTTTCAGTTTTAAAATTTGCAGAAACTTTGACCGTCTATGCTTGACAATATGCATTATTGTGCAATTATCCCAGCTATTTGTTTTATTATATAATTATGCTAATGAAGAAAAATCTCTCATATTTACTAACTGATTGTTTAAGTAAAAGACATATGAGGTCACATGAAATTAGTTTAAATTCAAAGTAGTTTGGGTTTGATTTGAACCCAAATTCAAATTAATTCTAATAGTATGAACTATATTTCAAATCAAGTTAGAACATTCAAAACTTGGTTTGTGCAACAATTCATTCTCGTAGAACTCATTTGAACCTAATTGGTTCATTTCACAACTTAGCGAGGGCAACAAGGAAATTGGTGGTGTATTGAAGCAATAATATTTTAGGCGATGGAAGTCACTAAGGGAAGACATCAGCCAGGATGGTGAATTGTGAAAGAGAAAGGAAGTTTACAATAAAACTCGTTGAGGATGGCATTTATGTGTAAAGGAGAAGACATTTAAAGTAAACTTCAATCAATCTTACAATCAATTGATCGCTGCACAACATCTCGTCGTTTGTAAGAGAGTTTGTGTGTATTTCTTTTGAAGATGCTTTGACGCTCTTTTGAAAGTCTCTCGTCCTTGATGAAGAATAAAAATTATCACTTTAAAACCACAATCCACGTCTTTTGAGTGTAATTAATCAATTGCTAAATAAAGTTTTTCAAGGATTTTTTTTTTTTTTGTCTTTTTCTTGTGTTAAAGGTAGCCTTCTTAAAGAAAGTAAATGTTTGGAAAGTTGATTAGTTCATACTTTAATTCATTTTATAATATAGAATTGAGGCCAAAAGGGATAATCTTCTTTAATTATATCAAAACTATAGATTTGTAGTTTTAATGAAGAGATTGTGAGCATTATCCTAGATAAGGCATCATTGTTTTATTATTTTTACTCTAAGCTTATGTATATAAATATTGAAGATTAAATATTGGAGATTCTAGCATGTCAATGATTTAATTTTAATTGGGTGTTTATAAATTTTACGGTATGCTAGCTTATGTTTGGGATGAATTCCTTGAATATTAGGCATTGTCTTCAGTATTTTTAGGATTGAGTGAAATATCTTTATTATTTCATATTAATTTTCTTACTAAAAAGAGTTGTATTATGTTTTTCTTCACTAAAAACACTTCCTAAACCTATTCAGAAAGCATGATATATTACTTTAAATATTTAAGAAAATTTTGGCAATTAAAGTACAAGGGTAGAGATCCTTAGAACTTTATCATGCTTGAATGTTTTAAATGTGCAAAGGGACCATTAAAATTTTTATCTTATTGAGGAACTAGGGCTACTATAAAACTAAAGTTTTTTATAAATCAACTTGTTGCTTTTATTTTTCGACAGGACAGGGAATGTTTATAAAACCCTACAAATTTGAAGATTTAAGAATTTAAATAATCAAACATAAGATTAAAATGTAATATATTATCTCGAGAGATAGAAATATCAATTTACAATTGGTTTCATTACTTGAATTAAGAAAGTTTAGATGTTTCCAATGGTCTACAATTAAAACTGACAAACATTTTTCCAATCTAATCTGAAGACTAGATAGGATCTACGACAGTATAATTAGTCATATGATTGATTGATGGGTCGCAATTGATTTAAACTCCTCAGAGGCTGCATATCTAAGATAACATTAATCTTTTGAGGATCAATTTTAATCCAACAATGTCAAACAATAAATTCTAAAAATTTCTCTGAGATCAAACTAAGGACAAACTTTAAGGGATTCATTTTAAGATTAAATTACCATAATTATTGGAAGAATATTCCCAAATCTTATAAATGGTTGTCTCTTTATCTGCTCTTAACGACTAGGTAGTCCACATAACACTCGATCTTGTTGTGGATGAGTTCATCTAAGATTCTTGTCATAGCCTGCTGGAAGGTCGCACTGTTAGTCTTAAGTCTGAAGGGTATCACTATATAGCAGTAAACTTTGGTGAACATTCTGAAGGTTGTATTTATTTCATCTTATGGAGACATTTTAATCCAATTGTAACCTGTCAATTTATCCATGAATGAAAATATTATGTGTGACAATCCAATATCCACCATTAATTTTTGAATAGGTAACAAGAATTCATCTTTTAGATGAGCTTTTGTTTAGATATCTGAAGTCAACACAAATTCTGATATGATCATTTTTATTCTTTATGGGTACTACGTTGGCTAACCAAATCAGATGTTGTTCTTAGTGGACAAAAGGTGGCTTCTATATTTTTTTTACTTAGGCTATCACTTCTTGTTCAATTTCCAAGCGCATTCTTCTTGGAGCTTGCTTCATTAGGGTCACATTTAACTATATTTCCAACATGTGTACTGCAACTTCTAGAACTAATCCTATAACTTTGCCATGATTCCAAGTGAATTAATCTATGTATTCTAACAATAATTTAATTATTTCTCTCACTTCTTCTTCACTGAATAGTGAGTAAATGATTAGTGGTATGGGTTCATTTTTTGTTCTCAAGTTTATTTCCTTTAGCTCATCGACTGTTAACTTGATTTCCTCCTACAACACTGGCAGTGTGTCTTTGATCGAAGGGTCTTCAGAATCATCTGATATTTCTGCGCGTTTTGTATCGGATTCATTGGTGACAGACAGCAAAATTCTATATCATCTTGAGACCAAACTGTATTGAATCATATACCTTCTTTCAAATTAAAGTTCCATTGATTGGTATCCCATTATTGTTTGAAGACGTGAGATTTGTTCTTCGACCACTGTTTTGGCACAAAACCACATTGGACTAACTTTTAAACACAAGGAGAATAACATTCAATAAAGTTTTTCATTAATTTAAAAAGTTTCCTTCCTACAGTTTTACATTTAGTTCACTACTAGAGGGAAAAGATCAATGATGGAGCTTAATCGACTTTACACCAATACCATTTACTCTATAGCTATCAATGAACTTTGAAACTCGAGAATGAAGGCGTAAATATCTGATTCATCAAAGTAGTCTTTATCACTATCATTGTTATTGGAGTTGTTATTTTCATTACTTTTGTTTGTGTTATTGTTGTTATAGTTGAACCCATCGGGATATTTTATGATTTGAGAATTATCATTAGGATCGAAATTGGATTAAGTGTTTTTAAGAACGTTGTTGTTAGGAATAGACAAAATGTAACTAAAATTATGACTCTTAGTATTAAACAACCCAGAATAGATGAAAAAGAAATCATATAGAGTCAGATGATTGAGTGATTGTTTTTCTAAATCCAAAATAATAAATCTAAAAGAAAAAATATGGAAAGAAGGAATAGCAACCCCTACTCTACTCAAGTCTTAATTTTTTTCCATCTTGATCCCCTTTATGTTCTTTGGTTATTGTGGTAGGTCGTCTTCGATTCCAATTGATAATACCAGCTTCACAGGGTTTTTCATCTGAGTCGCAGCTTGCTCCAAAGTAGCTTAAATTTTATTAAGGATTTTCTTAAAGAATTTATTCCTTGTCGTGCTTCATCCTATCTCATCTTTGTAAGGATTTATATGAACAATCATGTCAACTAAAATCATATTGACTGAACCCTTTTTTGGTTTTTTAAAATATTCCTACTTGAAGTTGTATTTGAGTTAGTCATTTAAGCTAAAGTAATCTTTAATTGTATGATTGATCATCCAATAGTAAGGGCAGTACTTAGAGTAATCCTTCATTTTAGCTTCTTATGGTTTTCTTGATTTTGGCAGTTTGAATTTCAACTTCTTTAGCATATTTTAGCTTCTTATAGGCTTTGAAGTATGGTGTGGACCCTATTTTAGACGACCAGATTATTTCATAAGCCACATATGTCGACTAGGCCCTTACCCTTTTAGAACAAGAAGGATTCACCTTCCACCTTTATGGCTTGGTTTAGGCTTTGGAAACATCTAGATGTTCCTATTTTAGATAACCATATCCATTTGATATACATGTTTACTAGTTAGCACAAAATGCAAGCATGACTCCTATTACTGAGAGTAATCTTGGGTATCCCCCAAGATGTAAACCGTGAAACAAAATATAATTTTGATTCTCTAGTTATATGGGTTGGTTATGTAGAATACTTCTTTGTGGTTATGTGTTTCAAGATTTCTTGATTTGATCTTATTTTAGACAAACACTGTTAACCAGTCGCACGAAAATAACCTTAGCAAGTTCTCCATATTCTTTTTAATTTATTTGCCTTATTTTATTTCCTTTCAATCCTTTCTCTTCTCTAAATCATTTTGATAGTTCAAGAAATAGTGCAATTTAGAAAAAAAAATAGTTATAAGAAAATAATAAGACATGTTGGCAACTCCAAGTTTTAAAAAGAACTAAAAACCAAAAACTACCACTAGGTTGATCATCAATGAACCCTAGGTTAGCCAACTTAGAAATGAAACCCAGGATCACATATTCCTTAGAATATTCCATTCTAGAAGCTAGGTTATATTACTAGGTACCCCTAGTCAGTGCTAAGAACTAGAACTAATAAAATAAATAACATTTACCCTATTAGAATATCTAGGTTCCCTAAGATGAAGTAACCTATGGTTATTAAAAAGACACCTCAAAACACTTAATAATAAGAAGTTCTACACTTGATATAACTTTTGAATTAAAGGGATATCTCTAATTGTTTGTTTGGTTAATAGTCTAATTATACCAATGAACTTCAGAAGATGGAAAGCTAGGGGCATTGTTGCCCTCATTTTAGCTTGAGGTCTATCATTTTCCTCTCTCTCTAACATTTAAGATACAGCCTTAAGCTTTACTTAGTAGCTCTCCTAGAAGTCCGGTGGAGGAACAAACTCCAAACTAGAATTTTAAACATCTCTTCACTCCTTATGTTTTCATATACTTGACTTCTAACCCTTAACCTTTTGCTGGCATTCATTA